ATATACACAAAGTATATATATATATATATATATATATATATATATATATATATATATATAGAGAGAGAGAGAGAGAGATATTTATATATAGATATATATGACCACATGACTTTAGAGCATTATTCAGGTTATTTAAATGGCTGTAATTCACGAAGGGAAGGTTTGAACTTCACAAGGTCCTGTTGTATCCAATACTAAGATGTTAGACGCAGATTATTTATGGGGTTCTGTTTAAGGCGGTGTCTCACTGGGCTGTTTAAATAAAACGGTGCGACAAATCGCCTCTCGAAACAGTCGCAGGATCGTTGTCTCAAACCTGTCTCAGTTTTGTTGCAGGTGCCTTCAACCCATTTCAGGAACGCCACAGTTCTGACACGTGGTTGAAGGCATGACATGAAACGTGTCTACAAACAACACCATTTATAAATGATAATTAAAACACTGGTCAAAATCTGCCTGCTTTCATTTCAGAACTGTTTTCCAGTGGTTTAAATCAATAACGTGGGGATTGCTTCCAGTGTGGGTACAAAGAGGGTGGAGATGAGTACGATGTGGGGAATAATGTGCACAACCTGGAGTAAAGTTGAGCTGTGTGCACAAAAATAAGCCATATACAAAAACTGGTCATGCAAAACGTCTCCGAACAGCTCGCTGCTCACTTGCAAACAGGACTCGTTGAGACTGAATGTTCTAGTCTCGAACAGTGGCAGACCAGTCAGAAACTGCACTTCTGATCGAGTATGAACCCGTGTCCGTCCCTGAAATGCTGCATGCCACCATCTTTAAACTTGGTTGTTTTAACAGCGACTGGTTCCGCTGGATGTAAAGCATCCTGTTAACAATTTGATCTGGAGTTGGAAGGCTCTTCATGTGAACTCAACACTGTTTTGGTCTCAGGGAGGAGCAGTGAGTCTGGAGCCTAAGTCATCGCTGCAGGCCGACAAAACCAGGACGCCACAGAGAACCAGTAAGAACCGCGATATGGACGGTAGGAAACCTCACCGGAGTCCATTTAGGCTCTTTAACTTCTAGAAAGCTAAAGTTACCATCTTTGTGTTGGTTATGATAAAATAAAATAAAAATCGAGGTCAAATTTTTATTTGTGTTTTATTTCAATGAAGTGCTAAATTACTCATTTTTCAAATAAAACAAACAAAAAAAAATATTCAGGCCCAAACGCTTCAGTCACGCAGCAGCAACGTGAACTAATGACTTATTGTTGCGTTGATTGATTATCAGCTGTTTTTTCCTCAGCTTTTTTTTTTGACTGCCATAGTGACGTTTGTTAGAAAATCTAAGATTTGTGATTTGAATAAAACAATAACAGCAATGTGTCAAATTGCCAATAAAACAAAATCAATACCCTGATCAATATTAAACACAACCCTTCTGACAGCTCATATAAACCCGCAGTAGTTCCGTGTCATGTTTCCAGGCTGGATGTCGTCGTCTTCTGCCGCTTTAGGTGGACTCGTTGACCGGCACGTCCAGCGATGAAAGCATCTTTAAAACATGGCTACAGAGGCGCCTGTTTTTATTGTTTAGTGGCACAATAAACAGTAAAACTAAATAGCCATGTTAAAAATAACCAAAAAGTAAATTATGTGGTTGAGTTTTTGTAAAATACGCATTTATACTTGAAGGAAAAAGTTGAGCAACTTTCATTTATTTGTTCTGTTAACTTGGAGCAGGACTGCAGCCATGCCTGTAGTATTGATTTTTAATTTTTTGTGTGTGAAATAAATTCAGTTTTTATTAAAAAATGACTGAAATGACACATTTACTTTAAACTAAATATACTTTCTAAATTGTTTATTTAACTTTAGGTATTTGATGATAAATCTCTCCTGTTGGGTCGTCCTGTGACAAACTAAGACGAGCACAAATAAAAGAGTACGCTACAATAAACAATGTACTCTAACGTAGATGGAAATGACTTGTATCAGGGGTCTGCAACTTTTGTGATAAAAAGAGCCATTTCTGCCACTTTGCTTAATTATGATGTCTGGAGCCACAGAACCTGCTACAACTGGTCAACTGGTGGCTCATGGACCACTTCAAGTTTGTTGGAGATGGCTTCACCGTCCAGTGGCGGTGATATTATAAAATGAAAAATGTCTAACTATTATTAACATTTATTGATATTTTCATAGGGCAGCACGGTGGCGCAACTGGTAGAGCTGCTGCCTCTTAGCGAGCAGGTCCTTGGTTCAAACCCCGGTCCGGGGACCTTTCTGGGTGGAGTTTACATGTTCTCTCCGTGCATGCGTGGGTTTTCTCCGGGTTCTCCGGTTTCCTCCCACAGACCAAAAACATGCATGCTAGGCTGATTGGTAACTCTAAATTGTCCCTAGGTGTGAATGAGAAAGTGAATGTTTGTTTGTCTCGTTTGTCTCTATGTGGCCCTGTGACGTACTTGCGACCCGTCCAGGGTGTCCCCCGCCCCCCGCACAGTGATTGCTGGACATGGGCACCGGCGACCCCCGTGACCCAAAATGGAATAAGCGGGTAAAAGATAATGGATGGATGGATATTTTTATATTTTAATACCAAAAAAAAAGACCAGATTCATATAAAGAATATATATATATATATATATATATATTTTTTTTTACAATTTTATAAAAATTAAAACAATGAACTCTACAGGTCGATGTGAGTTCTCTTAATTGTTGACGAATTAAGTTTCCTACGTAAAACATAAAGTTAAAGACAGTATAAAATTAGACCAGTTTAAATGCTGTCATTTACTTTGACTTTGTTTTTTTGTGTGTCATCAAATAATCCTTCTCAGTAACTTGTCTTAAAGATATTCCAAAACAATCTGGTGTTTTGAGAGAAAGCTGCTCTGAGACTGGAAGTTGACTTAAAGTGGCTAACAAACTGCTAGCATGATGTCATCACATGTCTATACTTTTCTTCACATATTTGAAAATGTCAGGAAATCTGCTAAAACTAACAATTTTCATTGGTAATAATTTAAATCAAATTCAGTTTTATTTTAGTTTTGGTCAAAGCCTGAAAAAGCCGCTGCAGAGGAACCACAGAGCCACATGTGGCTCCAGAGCCGCAGGTTGCAGACCGCTGACTTATGTTATAAACATACAAGTATTTTGTTTTTATTCATGGGGAAAAACTACCAACCTGAACCCAACTCTGGTGTGCTTCAGGCTTTCTGGACATGCTGACGAGGGCTCAGTGCTGCAGAGTGGACGACCAGCGAGGCCTTCTGACCAAAGAGCAGCTGGAGGTTCCTTCGTTCCTGCAGCTGTCCACAGACCAGGCACAGGATTCAGATGACCCCAGTACAACCAGCTCTTCCACCAGCGACTCCAAAACAGAACCCGAGGACATGAAATCAACTTCGGGCTCAGCAGGCTCAGACTGTCCTGACCTGTCTGAGTCCAAAGACTTCAAGGAAACGACCGTTTGACAAAGAGTTGCTTGTAAAATGGACAAAAGAGGCCAAGAAAAACATTGATTGTCTCACAACACAGAGATGTGACTCAAGTCCAAACGTATTTGTCTCAAAGCACCTTAGTTTTTACCTGTTAATGAATAAGCTCAGAGACAACGGAGTCCTAGAGTCTCTGCACTGGTTGTCCTTTTGAAGGTTTTCTGTAAAGAAACAAAAAGATCACGGCAAACATTTATAGTGTCATTTTAAACACTACAGATCCTCACAGGAGGCTGTTTGCTAGAATTTGTATTATTGTGTCTTAAAATGCATGAAACGTTTGTTTTGACCCTGTAGCCTGTGTAATACTGTACAGTTCATTTTACAAATCATAATTGGTCGTTTAGAAATAATTTGCTTTTGCTTTTACTGAAAGGTGATTGTTTTCCTGGCTGTTTTGAAATGTTTTAAATGATCCTGTTTTGCCTTTCAAGGTGGGAAAATGATAATTTACAAGGATGAGTTTTAATACTTGAAGTCTGTGCTCGTGTGTGTTCTTATTTTTAATGCATGTACCTACCACTTTGAATTGAATTCAAAATCTTACATCCAACCTACAAAGCCCTCAACAACCTAGCTCCATCTTAAATTTGAGATCTTATTGTTCCATTTTTTCCTAACAGAGCACTTCACTCTCAGACTGCAGGCTTACTTGTGGTTCCTAGAGTTTCCAAAAGCAGAATGGGAGGAAGATCTTTCATTTATCAGGCTCCTCTCTTGTGGAACCAACTTCCAGTTTCTGTCTGTGAGGCTGACACACTGTCCAGTTTAAGAATGGGATTAAGACTTTCCTTTTTGATAAATCTTACAGTTAGGGTTGGCTTGTTGTGCTGCTATAGGCTTATGCCCTATTCGCACAAGATTAGTTTTACCTAGGGACCACATCCTATTTGTAATAATTACGGAGATTGTCTGTTGTTAATTGAAGCGAATCGGCCATGTCAGTAATTTGTAAGGTAAAAATTCCTCCACAAATTACCTACTATATTTAGCTGAACTCTGAGGTCCTATGATAATACTAATCCAATGTGAATAGGCATCTCTGTGATTTGGACAGAAATGGGCGGTATCCGATAAGTAATGAGGCATTTTTTGTTTCCTGGGCACATTTTTATTTGCTTTTGGCAATAGAGGCTGCATTAGGGTGCATAAATAACCTTTTGTGTTCCAGACCAGCAAAAGCCTATCGTCTCGTAACTGTTACCCCCCCCCCCCCCCAAAAAAAAAAGAAAAGGCTGAAGAGAAGGAGCAAAATCATATGCAAATGGTGGCTCACATCATGCATTGCTCTGTGCGGGAAGAATAATTTTCTTCTGTGTGTAGACTACTATACAGCTAGCTAGTGCTGGCAGTAACACAGCACCAAGCTGTGGCCGTAGCCTGAAAAGTATTTTACCATCAACTCACGTCATTCATCGAGTCGATTAATAAAGTATACAGTATATCATATCTGGAAGATGTCTGTAAATTTCAACTAAATCTCAGGATTTGGTTATCCCGTGTGAATGCGCCACATAAAAAGCAGACGTTGGGGAGTAATTTATTTATTACATGTAATCCCATGTGAATAGAGCTTTAGACTACTATAGGACAAATTGACCTCATTTCCTTAAAATGAATTATTAAAATTTAATAGTTTTCATTTGATAGTATTTCTATCTTAACATGTGATTCTTGACCTGACATTGTGCATCTGTTCCACTCAAACCCATCCGGTCGAAGCAGATGACCGCTTGTCCTGAACCTGGTTCTGCTAAAGGTTTCTTCCTCATGGGGGAGTTTTTCCTTTCCACGGTCGCCGTCATGCTTGCTCAAGATGAATGTTCTGTGATCGAGTTAAACTCAAAGCAGTCTGCTGCTCCTCAGATAAATAATGTTAAATTATTATTTTTATATATGAATTTTTCTGTTCAGTGCCCTGAGACGACTTCTGTTGTGACTTGGTGCTGTATAAATAAAATGAATTGAATAGCACTTGGAGAGGAGGTTGTGTGTGTTTGCACCGTGTAAAGCCTGGATCGTCCTTTTCTTCTGGCACATCCGCCTGCAGCTCAGGAACCAGATCTTTAACCAGGACTGATTTCAGAGAGTTGTCAGCATAGGTTTGGTGTTTTAACACTCGGTGGTTTGGAAAAACAGACGTGCTGGTTTTAAAAGAGCAGTAAGAGCCCAGTGGACAATTGTGTGACTCATGCAGGACAAAACCACCCCAATCTGTTTTAATATGCGTCAGTTGCGTAATTACATTTGTCTGTTAGTTTATCCGGATAAACAAAAAAAGGCCTCTAAGACGCTTTTGTGTAATATCATTAATGGCACAGAGACGATCTCTGCAGTGCTGTGACTAGTTCTTGGGATCAATTAGCTTGTTAGCTGTCTGATCTTAAGACTTGTTGCTGGAAGGTGATGGAAAAAGTCTCTATATATAATTTATTTATTTATTTATTTTTTAAACAAGTTGTAAAACCTAATGAGTCATAGATGATCTCAACCCCCTGGATGATGTCAGCAGCATCCATATTTCAGAGTGTTTGGAAATCATCTGTCACCACCCTGTTCTGTTTGTCATCAAGCATGGGATCATGAACAGCAGAGTTATTGTGAAGTGTTTTTAATTTTTTACATAAAGCTTCAGAATGCCAGACCTGTGAGTGGCACAACTGGTGTGTTTTTTTCTGTGTGTGTGTTCACGCGTGAGGTCTGCGTCAGCGGTGCTATGAATGGGCAGAGAAAGGTTGTTCTCTCAAAGGCACCGTCACCGCCGTGAAATGAGGAGTGCCATCCACTCCGCTGCACGTCCGCCGTGCTGAGAAGACGAGGAAGAGGAGGCGGAAGCAGGAGGTGAGCGTTTGAGTTTACTCCAGGCTTTTTCTTTTATTTAGTGGAGATATTTTTTTTAATGCTGCTTATTGTGATCATTCAGTCTGTGGATGTTTGTCTCCCTGTCCTCCCCTCATCCATCCTCCTCCTGATCAAATGTCCCGTTAAAAAAATTAAATGATGGAAATTATTTTCAGAGCTGCAGACAGAGGCTCTGAATGAATGGACCTCACTGAGTCCTACAGAGAAATTCATCAAATCAAAACGTGCATGTTCTGCTCAGCGTGAAGGACAGAGATCCAAATGAAAAGTGTTGTCAGACGATGAAGTCGTGGCTCAGCTGTGAATGGATCAGGCAGCAGCTGTGCTTGTTAACTCCATCCATCTGAGGGGGTCAGGGTGTGCATGTCACACCTGAACACAGTAAAACAACAAACTATCACAGTAAGTTACAGGAGCCTCTGTCCATGTGTTGACCTTCAAGACCTTCAGTGATCAGGTGGTTCTGGATTATCTCACCAGGTGTTAAAGTGATCAGCTCAGAGCCTGCAGGGAACATGGTAATTTCTTCTGCTCTATACATACAGAGCATGACTTAACACACAGCCTTGTGGTGCTACAGTGTTGAGGGTCAAGGCTGGGGAGGTCAGGTCAGAAAGTCCTTCATCCAGAGAATTTCTGATAATATCTGAAGCAGATGAGCAGAACTTTCAGATCAAATTCTGGACACCCTGAGGTCAAAGATAAATAGTTTGTATCATACAGTAGTCCCTCGTTTATCGTGGGAGTCCGTACACTGAAGCTCTGCGATAAGTGAAAAACCACGAAGTAGGAATAGTAGTACAAGTAGTAAGTAGTAGTTTATTATTGTATGTATGTATATATATATTTTTTTATATATATAATATATAGGTGTTTTAAACCCATCCCACACTCTTGCGATATTCTAAACAATGTTTCTAAACTCTAAACG